ATCCACCAGCGAAAATTGATGGTGCGCCACAAAAACGCCTGTTTGTTGGCCATCGAGAGCGCCTATCCGGAGTTTGGGGACATCGAGCTGCGTCGCCGAGTGTTATCGTGAAATGGGTAACCCCGGAATGGCCACAGCCACCTTGCTGCAGATTCCGGTCAAGTTGCGTACGCCGAGAGTCAACCTGATGCTGGCCAGACTGCAGCATCCAGGCAATAGATCGGGGTGCGCCAGCAAGGCGGAAGCCCTGTTTGCCTACAAAGAGGTCGTCCGCGAGTGTCCCATGGCTCTCGAGGTGATCGAGGCGCTTCTCGAGCTGAAAGTTGATGGCAACGAGGTCAACTCGCTGGTGCTGCACGCTGCCACGGTGCCCGGCAACTTTGACTGGCTGGGTACATGGATTCAGGGCCTGGCGCAGCAAGCACTTGGCTGCGGCACGCACCTTTCAAAAGCTGCAGGACACCAGCCTGCTGCACTGCAGCGAGCACCTGATGATGGCGCTGGACAGGTGCCTCTATTACTACGGCAATTACTCCGAGGCGGAGCAGATTTTCTCGGCCACGATCAGGGCCAATCCGGATAATGTGGAGGCCATCGGCCTGTTGGCCGTCGTTCGCTCTAGCCTGGAGGATCGGAGCAGTAGCAACACCACGGACATGGATCGCCTTTACGCCCAGGTGACTTCCGAGCCCAAGTATTCGGCGGAGCATTGGTTCGTCCACGCCCAGTCCATGTTCGATTCGGGCAAGTTTGAGCGGGGCTTGAGCTTTGTGGATCAATGCCTGGCATCGAAACCTCGCCACCAGGAGGCTCTGATCCTGCGCCCCCGACTGCTCGCCTCCTTGGGGCGGCAGGAGGAGGCGGCGGTGGCCTTTCGTATGGCCCAAACTATCGTGCCCTATCGATTCGAAGTTTTCCGGGGTCTTTTTCAGTGCTATTTGGACCAGAAGCGATTTAAGGAGGCTCATGCCTTAAGCAACTGGACGCTACAAACTTTCCCAAACTCGCCCAGAAGCCTAACGATGTTAGGTCGTACTCTCTTCAACACGCCCAATCCGTTGGTTAAAAAGAGTGCTCGCAAGTTTGCCCAGAAGTCCCTGAAGATAGATCCGAACTACTCGCCAGCGGTGCTTTTAATGGCCGATATCTGTCAGTTCGAAGGTGCACCAGAAGACTCTATTAAGCTGCTGGAGGACTACGTCTCTCTCTTTCCGCAGACCAATCTGTTCACGCGTCTCGGCGATATTCTGCGTTGTCAATTGCAACCCATCAGGGCTTTGGAATACTACCACAAGGCGTTGGGAAGGGATCCCAAGTGCGAGCTTGCTTTGGAAGGGATAAGTTTACTGAGATACTGCAGCCCGTCCTCCGTTTTAGAGGAAGATGGCACTATTAAGTTGGATCCCCAGCCGACTACCCCTCAATCCAAGAGTCTGGAGTGTGTGGATAGTGATTTTTTAAAGCACTTCGTCCTCTCTTCGAAGGACTCTTTGAATGGTCGAGAGGCATCCTCATCACCGGCAGCCAGGTCAGGTCAAGATGGCGACGGCGATGAAGCTGTTTGGCACGATGTTGATACGGATACCAATTATGATGGTCATTGAGTAGGGCCACTTGAGTCGAAGATCTCTTACGTTTTTATTTATGTCAATTGTTCTAATAAGCAATCAAGTTTGTTACTAAATTATGAAGTGTAGTTTAAGTATTATTTTCCTTTTGTTTGAAAAGAATGTTATGTCGAGGTGCAATAAATATGAATACTGAAAAGCACGTGCTAAAAGAGAGGAATTTCACTTTTGAAGGTGGTATGCTCTCTCTTTCAATATTGTTATCTTACTGTGACGCAATATTTTATTAAACGCTCTTTAAGGAGGGTTTCATAGTTCAGTAACTAGCTATCGGTTCTTATCTTGGGCACGAGACCTAGTCGCTTCTCTTTGTAGCACTTTTCATTAAGTCGCGTAATTAAGTAGTAGCTAATTCTCTTTGAAATCAGCTTTGATCCACTCTTGTTTTTTATAATTTGTTATCAAAGAAATATTTAGTCAATTTCTCTTTGGTGAAATCTTTGCAAATAGAAACATTTTAAGAGGCATCCGTATGTAAGCTTAAAGCTTAAATTTTGACCGTTACACATTCTACAATAAACACTTCAAAAAATGTGTTAATTTATTTATTTTCTTTTTTCTAAACCCTTCCCAAAAACGAAAAATGCATTTAATATAATTTTTACTTGTTTTTGTTATTATTTAACTTTTTCTTGTGGCTGTCACAATTCTCATCGGGTTTAAATTAAATATTCCACTTTTTATTTAAATTAAATAATAAATTGTCCTATTTAAACTTTATAATTAACATAATTGTAGTTTTAGGTCTGTACTTCGTTGATTTGTAGTTGTTGCTGCTGTGTTGCGGTTGTTTGCCGGACTGTGACTGAACACAATAATACAGTTAGACATCCTGCAATGGTTGGTGAGTTTATTGGATGGACAGCACCTTTACTTGGTGGCCGACTTCAGGTAGGCGATCAGATCGCCGCGCTCGTTGGGCTTCTTCAGACCAGCGAAGATCATCTTGGTGCCGGGGATGTACTTCTTGGGGTTCTCCAGGTACTCGAACAGGGTGTCCTCATTCCAGGTGATGCCTTTGGCCTTGTTGGCGTCCGTGTACGCGAATCCGGCCGCCTGTCCGGTCTTGCGACCGATCAGTCCATGTAGGTTGGGTCCAACCTTGTGCTTGCCGCCAGCCTCAACGGTGTGGCACTGTGCGCAGCGCTGCACGAACAGCTTCTTGCCCTTCTCAACATCACCAGCAGGAACACCCATTATGGATTAGGTTATTGATTTATGTGTTAACACGGACTCGACTGCAAAAAAAAAATTATTTGAATATTAATAATCTATAAGAGTACCATTCCTATTTATTAAAGCCCTTGTCAAGATTTTTTCTATAACACTAATGATCGTTTCCATTAAAGTTTGTAGCTGATTCATCTGATATTTGATCCTAACAATAATTGCAGTGAAATAAATTTTTTAGTGCTCAAGATTAGTTTTTAAACAAATTAGGTTAATATCTTGTTTATTGTAAAAAATACTGTCAATCAAGCATAAACTATTTTATCTAAATATGTATATTTTTATAATATTTTCCCAATCAGGAAACAATACTATTTTTTGCTTGTGTAGGTATGTAGGTCTATGAAAAAATATTTGTCCCCTTGCCCCATTATGTAAACAATTGATAAGGTTTCTGCGGAAACGAAATTATCAAAATTGCTAATGCTAAGTGCATTACTCGGCTGATGGTTTAGATAGGCTCTAACTACAAATACCACCTTTTTATTATCTGAGTCTGCATTTCCATTAGCCTCCCCCTCTTCTAACAAAACAGTTTTTTTCTCATTTTGTTCGCGCGTGGAGGGCAACGTCATCAAACACACACACACACTTTAAAAAGCTTCAGACGGTCACATGTTGTTGCCCCCCGCTCCACACTCTCTTTCCCCACAAATATTCGCCAATCGTCGCAAAATAATTGCGTCAGAATCGCTCAGCAACAGGCGAATAACTTCTCCAGGAAGCATCATACGAAAAAAAGCGCTAGTGTTTACATAACTACTATAATTTCCAGGGTCTGTGTTACGGTCAACTTGCTAATTGCCGGATAAAAAGTTGCATGCAGCTATTCGAACTTGACAGTGCAAGGTGCCGTTAAAATGAGTAAGTCACCTACACAGACACGCACCTACACTGAAACACGTAAATTAGAAGAAAATAAGCACTATGTATATATTCATATATATATATATATATATATATTATACATATATACATTTAATTTTGTTTTACATACGAAGTCGTGTTGTGTTGATAACGGCTTGAAGGTACATATGTATTAAAATCCACATTTTTATTACATCACGATTTTTTTCTCCATGTACAGAGGGCATGCAGCTAGAGAGTGAGTAACGGAAAAATAACAACAATGTCATCTGATTTGGCCTTGGCGAGAACTTTTCACTTTGTTCTCGTGCGTGAGAGACGAAGAGAAAGTGCAATTAGAAAATTGGAAGCAGGCCAAAGGCAGCAGAGGCTGTATATGGGTGGGTGCGATAAAGAGAGACGAGTGAAAATTGGGCCAACATCAGAGTTTCCTCAGAAAAGCGAATCTTACATAAGCATACGCTAGCAAAGGTAAAATATCCTCTTTTCTGCAAAAGAAGATGAAACTAGCACACCGCGGAAAAGCAAAACTTGCTTAGCAACCACGTGGCGCGCTTTTTAAGTCCATAGCAAAAAGCAAACATAAAAAATTCCAAGAACTGATACATTTTTTGCCAGACAGAGCGAGCGAGACAGCTGATGATCGGGTTCTTTGCTCTCTGTGCTCATGTAATCGACTCTCTCTGGGGATTTTTCAATGGCAATGTGACTTTGGGATTGCTATTTTTACCATTAATAATTTAATGCAAATTTTTTTCTTGGAAAACTCGTTAAATAGACTTATAAACCAAACTGAGCCAAAATCACACTACTATACACACACACAAGGACACGTTTATGTAATCTGAATCATCCCCCAAAATTATTTGTTTGCAAGGAAACTGTTTTCACACCAAAAATTACGCAATGCAATCCACACGGAAGTGTTTTTCATTATTATCTGTTTGAGAACTCGCTAATCAATAACTATTCAAGGTAATATTTACGTCACTCGAAAATTTGAAAAATACACCCACTACTTACATTGAACACAAACGTCGAGCTTCGCCGATTGTTTTACGAATGCCGATTTTAACGAAAGACCACCGTTTGAACTAGTGCAGAAACATCGAGGAATCGATTTTTTAATTTTAAAAATCGATGTTTGACGGCGATTACCCATAGTTTTCAACCCCTGGTAGACCAAGTGCCTCGTGGTTGGTGTCACCGCTTACCCGGTCAAAAGCTGATTGCTGCAATGCTTCTGAGCGCGCAAATTTTGTTCAAAACAATAAATTTTGGTTTTTTAACTTTAATAAACTCAAATAGTAGCAAACCTTTTAATGTTTTATAGGCATGTGCATTTTTAATTGAATTAAATGGAGTTAGGGCGAACGGTCTTAGTTTTTGCCGATCTTGTTGTTTTGCGGTCTTATGCATTTACTTGTTTGTCTTAAGGAAGGCGATCAAGTCGGCCCGCTCCTCTGCCTTTTTGAGGCCAGCAAAGACCATCTTGGTGCCAGGAATGTACTTCTTAGGGTCCTTCAGGTACTCGTCCAGATTGCCCTCCGTCCAGGTGACACCTTTTTTTACGTTGGCTTCCGTGTACTTGTATCCCGCTGCGGTACCGCTCTTGCGTCCTACGATTCCGCCCAGATTGGGGCCCACCTTGTGTTTGCCGCCCACCTCGTAGGTGTGGCACTGGGCGCACTTCTGGACGAAAATCTTTTTGCCGTTCTCCGCATCACCAGCACCCATTTTGGAAGCCTGTTTGGTAAGAAGGTTAAAACATTATTAGGACAGTATAATACAAGATAGAACGGTATAGTATAGTGCACCGATAATCAAACTTTGGCAGATAAAAGTAAACTCATTTGATGATTCTGATCAGAAATTTATGTACTTTATGGGGTCGCAAGTGATTCTTTCGGCCCGTTACATATTTATACTCTACGAGTGACAGGTATAAAAAATCATAAAAGATTACTCTAATGTCATTATAAATGGAGACCTTTGATATTGTTTTCGAAGTACATAATTACTGTATTTACGATTTATTTCCAATAGTTTTTTTTCATTCAATACACTTTCAATGGCCTGAAAGAAGCCGTTTGAAAAGTGCAAGTCCTTCCCATATTTCAGAGAAAGCGAGAGCGTCTCTCTTGGCCACTCTCTTGGCTGCAAATCGTTAGACGGAGACAGCTGCATATGCACAAAAGCAAAACGAAATTAGGTCAGAAAAATAAGAAAAACTAAAATTGAATCAAAATGGGTATTAAATGAAAAGCAAACAAGCAGCAACTTGGCGGCACTTCTAATGGGAAAAGCAACCGAAAGGTAATTCAATTAGCAGACACAGACCGCCCTTACACCCCCTGCCACCCCCTTTTTCCCCATCACTTTCGGCGGCCAGCAGCTGCACATGTGCTTTGAACATTTCCTTTCAATTAAAACGCATTTTACGCACTCTCTTCCGCCCCCTTTTCCCTCTCCGTGTCTTCCTTTTTTTGTGGCAAAAACAGATGCCACCGGAAAACAAAACAGAGCGAAGATGCATAAAGAGGGAGGAAATGGAGTCAGGGGTTTACACCGGTCATACTGGAATGATACATATTTATTGGACAGCCTATAGGCTTTATTTTGAAGTTAAATAATTCCAATCAACAGAAGAGAAATGAGAAAGTAAATAAAAGTAAATATTTTAATTTGAATTTACTGATAAATTTATTTATTTACCACTTCCTTCTAATAAAATGTAAATTAAACCTAAAGTAAGCTATTCTGTTTAAATATCTCTCTAATTAGGTATGTTAACAGTAGTGAGTGGGAAAGTTAAGTCGAATACCCGTGGCATCAGGTGCATCCATCTCTGCATCCAGCACATTTTACATCTACTTTATTCTCATAAGAGAATCCCGGCCAGATGACCTAACCTAATTTGCCCTGGCACCATAATTCACCCACAGGCAAAACTATCCTGTCTGTTGGCTCGAGTTCCCCTGCCTGACCACTATAAATAAATGGCGCACAAAATTAAATTACGCTTGAACGGGCCTGGCAAAATGTGGTTGGGGAAGGGGCGAGGAGTGGAGCCACTATTGTTTACGAGATCTATTGCTGCGGAAGTCCATAAAAAGGTGAGAGGTTGCTCGGGAATGGGGGTTTATAAAAGAGTGTCGGGAACAGGACACAAGGGGGATAAAAGGAGAATGCGGATATTGAATTGGTTGTTAAGTGCGGATGTACCTAGAGAATAGCGGATATTGTTATGCAAAACAGAATGTCGCATATAAGACTTTTACATGGAAAAAAACATTTTCTTTGACTCATACAACCAAGTACCAATACGTCAGTAAAATTTCGCGTCCCTTAAGGGTAATAATTTATGTTGTAACTATGACAAGCCTACTCCATACCATTTAATAAGTTTTTCGAGGACATCAAACTTAACCACAATTATTAGAGTTTAGCTTTTTAGCTGAGTTCCTCTATTTTCCTAAAACCTCGGTCAGCGGGTTACCAAGAACAACGCTTTGGGTGTTGCGCAATTTGGCATGACTTTGATATTCCCGACAACCTCCCACCCGCAAAAGCTGTACCCATAAAGAACCACCTCCACAACCCCAAAAGCAGACATTTCTGGTTTTCCTGCCCTGCATGGCAAGAACCCTACATTTCTTTCTCGTTCTCCTTTATTTTTGATTGCACAGTTGTACTTCTGTAGCAAAATCGAAATAAGATACATATGTAGGTATTAGTCAGAAAAGGTTGCAAAAATTAAAAGTACTGAACATTTTATAAGCATAAGTTAAAATATTTCAATTTTTTTAATTACATTTTTTAGGGCTTTTAAAATTAATTTTATTATGATTAATACGTTATGATGATCAAATAGCCCAAAACATGGTGGGGAAATAAAAAGATACTTTATGCATTAGATTCATTTTTGAAAGGAGTACTGTATTTGTTACAGCACGTTTATACTACGCGCTTTTCACTGCTGTGGCTGCCTCTTCTTCGAGGCCTTTCTTTTGAGGGGGTGGTGGGGCTGGAGAGATGGCTTCTTTTCTAGAACGAGGTCGCTGACTGCCCTTCAACGCTTTCTGCTTTCTGTGCCTGCGGATGCCCGAAAGTTACATAAGCCCCAACAACAACAACTACACCGCTAGTTGGCTTTGCATTTTATGCTGAGAGAGGCCCCAACATAGAGAAAGAGAGCTGCAGCGCTGCGCGTGAGAGCAGCAGTGGGAATGTGTGAATGAAAAATTGCTAAAAATGCTTCATTTCAAGCAATTTATAACTGTTCTTTGGCGCAACTGCACTGCTGACGTCGCTGCATCAATGGAAATGTCAAAGTGAGCTAAGGAGAGGATGTTTCGAGTGGGCAATAAAAAAAGGGGTGAAGTCTACTTAGAATTGGGGATAAGGTAAAGCGAAACATTTAGATTTTTAAATGTTTTTAAACACATTTGCTGATTAACATGGTACCTAGCCTTTTATAAGTAAATAAAGTTAAGGGTAAACAGAATACAAAGGGATGGATAAGAAAACCTTACGTATGTACATACGTTTAAAAAAATACATGGTAATAAATTAAAATATTTAAAACAGTAAGTGTCATTCCTGTATATGGGGCAGCAACAATGCAACAAGCTTACCTGCTGAACGCCTCTCTCTGGCTCTCGCTCTTTCGCTGCTTGTTGCTCTGCCTCTTCCTCCCACTATTTGAAACTCTCTCGCTCTCTGTGTCTCTCTAATGGAGCGCTGCTTGGGACGACTGGGGCTGCCGCTCTTAGTTGCGTTTTCATTCAATCAGCTGAGTTCGCGGCGTTCGGTCTTTTTAGCTCGCTCCAACAATTTTCCGTTGTACCGATCAAATACTACGCGCTTTCGTACGTGAAGGAAACTGAAACCGCAAAAGTTTTCGAGTTGAAAAATTCCCTAAAACAACAAGACTCGGCGAGGACGGAAAATTTGTTAGCAGCTTGTCACCTTCGAAAAGTATCTGTGTTCTGGACACTGCCGTACACTTGACGATAGCAGTTCAGCAGAGGCCTACTTAGCTGAATAAACATAACACAAAAAACTAAGGGCAGCCACCAGAAAGGAGCTGCCAACTAGCATTTTACGGTAAGTTTGATTAACCGTTATCCCCAGTGTTGTGTAATGCGCCATGCTTTTATGCTACTTGTGTCCTTGCGAAGGCTGCACGTGTCCTTGAAATGCGTCAAGTGGTTCCTGCGACTCTCTCTTTCTCGTCTGTACAATCCCTCTCTTTCGATTCTTTTTACGCATTTTACGTAATCACGCCTAAAAGTTTTTTGTTTTTTTGCGTCTTCCTTTTGAGCGTTAATCTCGACTCGTTTTTCATTTGGTTTTATGACTGCCCCCAATCCCATTTTCACCCCGAGTTCTTTTGCGTTTTCTCTGTAATTTCGATATGAACAAGAGCTTTCCTTCTTAAACCAGATAATTCTGTAAGGGTCTTGCTTTTATATCTGCGAAGGACATCTGGTTCTGACGAGGACCTCAACTTGAAAAGAAAATCTATCTTCTTTATTTGTTTTTAATGTTTGAGAGTGCTCTCGATGGGGAACTGATTCGCTTAGATTCAATTTGTGTTTTTGATAACACTGGCTACGACAACATAAAAGTATATATGTAATACAAAAAAATTGTTGTTAGTTTCTTAAATTTCTATTTGCTTTAAAGAAATCTATTTTTTTTTAAACAATGTGTGTTTGTTTATTAAAAAGGGAATTCAGAAGAAAAATTCGTTTAAAAGAATTTACATTGCAATTAACCTGAAAATTCTTTTAAAGTAAAACTTTGCCCGCATATTCCTTCGTGTTGATTAAACATAATATTTCTTTGGAACTTTGAACGTAGCTTCCTTGCAAAATGAAGAATAAAGAATGTATACTTTTTATTTCGCTTGTCGTAAATAATTTCTTCGTTCTCTTTTCTTTAGCCAGTTGGTTACTTCTGCCACCCAACAAAACGAATAAGTTCACACAAAAAGTTCTCAAAGGCTTTGTCAGCCCACCTCCAGATTTTCAATTATGTCACTTCATCTGTATTCCACACACTGGCTCAACTGCACCGCCCCCTTTTTGGGTTCAGTTTATTAATCATTTCTGCCTTTTGCCATGGCACTGGCATTTATATAGACCAATGAGCTTTACTGTATGAACGGCATGGACTTTTGTTACGAGCCACAGCTAGTTCACATGGCAGAGCCCCAACATCAATTATAGCATTAATGTTGAGGAATTGCTATAATTTAATTAATTTGCCTTGTGCTGGAGGCAGAGACATACAAATTAATGATTAATATTCATCGTGTGAAGCACATACGATAATTGGGTTCAGTGAAATGAGCCAACTTTAATGCCAGCAATTGAACACTTGGCCATTTAATTGAGCACAAAATATATAACGAGTACATAACTCATCTATACCATATCAGCTATCCGATTCTCTATGTAGGTCAGCTCTTTCGCTCGTTCATTTCTTATCATATCGTTAAGTGCACTTGGTGTCCCTCAACCGAAACTATAACCAACATATGGGGCATGCCTCCACCCCAGAAACCCCAAAAAATTATCAAACTTTGTTTCGTTTGTATTGCATTCATAACACTCGGAAACTCGGGGAGGCAGGCCATCACAAAAAAGGGAAATCAATATTTGCGCTTAAAATAATAAAGTGAATGGAGGGAAACCAAACCAACAAAAAAGATTAGGAAACATGTAGGAGTTTTTCCACGAGGAGCGAGAAGTTAAGAAGGGGCGGACATGAAGTGTTTGCTAGATAAGCAAAGCAAGCACTACCTAACTACTCCCCCAACTTCCCACTAAGAGCATTTGTATTGTTATTTTGAAAATAAAGATATCATTAATGTCATAAACTATGTTCTGACTGGAACCTAACAACCAAAACTCAAATATTTTGCTTTTATTTTGCTAAAAAATATTAAAGTATCAAACTATTATTAGTTTTAACTTTAAGAGAATAACTTTTGGAACCTTAATCCACCTGCTCAAATTGTTTTTAATTATGTTGAATGTCCGGATGTAATAAATTTAGACCAAAAACTCTTTCCAACTTTTTTGAGCTATTTCCAATTAAATCTTTTTATTGCTAATTTCCCAATTTATTCCACCGAATCCAATTACCCAAAAGCGGAAATGCCCAAAAAAACCAAATGAGCCTTGTCACTCAAATCCCGATAAAAGTTCAGAATTGGGTTATGGATGGGATTGGTTAGCACGGTTAGAATTCAAGAGAATTTTCCCCGTTGGTTTGACTGATTTAGATAAGCTGGAAATTAATGACAAGGCATCAGTCTGTGGCTTACAATGAGCTTTAAAACAATTTTGCCAACAAAAAAAATTAAGCTGACAACGATGAATAATGTAAAACAATTTGCGCAGAGAACCAGGCGAAAACAAGGGCAGGACTAGCTGAAAATTCCAAAGCGTGTCAAATGGAAATTGAAAATGGCCAGTGGAAATGAGCAGCGAAAAGTTCTTCTTCAAGCCTGACAGGAAAAACAGACAGGCAAAACAGACAGGCAGGATGAACGAAAGTGGGCGTGGCCCGTCATGTCAATTAGATTTAATCGAAAATCGATGGGCTGATGCTTGAGCTTGCAGTGAATGAAAAGGTCACGAAAAGGTTGATTCCATATGCAAAAAGCTAGGGTCAAACCCGTTGACCCTTTCCCAATCTTTAATCCATGCAGTGTGCGTGTGTGTGTGTGGTCTATAATATTTTCACAGCGTCATCTTTGTTTATTTTGTGGCCCCTCGAATAGAGTTCTGAATTATGCATTGGGCACGATTGAAAGTACATACTTGAGGGGGAAAACCACCACGCTTAGCTGGAAAACTCATTCGAAACTGAATTGCTTTGGTCAGCACAGAAAGTTATAAAGCCATCGAAAGTGGGGCGATGAAGGTTTGGGCAAACTTCTAAAGATTGTGTGTGGTCTTTCACTTAATTGGAAATTCTTGACAGAACAAACTTTGAAAGTTAACTGAAAGTTTAAAAAAAATAAAGTTTAAAAGATTTATTTTTATTCTTTATAAGCGGCATACAAAATGATTAAACTTATGTGTACTTTTATATTTTCTTGACATTGAATTGTGGTATGGGAAATGCATTAATAAATCTTTCAAATTGATAATTAATTAGTTAGGTGTATTTATAATTACTTTTATGCTAAAAATATTTACTAATTGCCTGAAGTTTTCATTCCGTACTTCTTTATTTACCTTAAGTTCTAAACAAAGTGTGAGTCCTTGGTTCGAATTTAATTACACGATAATTTGTTATTTTATCATTTGAATTTAAATGCGTTTTTATTCATCCGATTTCCATTTCCTTCATTTGAATTTAATTTGGATATTTTCCGTTGTTTTATTTGTAAGTTCATTAATTTATTTAAAACCATTTAACGAGCCATAAAATGATGCCACCACCAGAGCGGCAAACTCGCTCTGTCTTCTGTAATTTCCCCATCTATTTCGTTTTGCTTCGGCTTCGGAGTTCAATGTGAGCCGCATTTCTTATCAGGCGCAAGCATAAAGATTTTCCCATCATTATGTAAGAGGTTAGTTCGGCCATAAAACCATGCTTCAGTTCCACTCCTCCCTCCTCCCCTTTTCTTCCCAGCCAAGTTAACGAGCTGGCCACAATGGGTATTTGGTTTTAGCTAATGAGCAGCGTCGACTGCGACTGCCAAGCTGACCGCGCAATTTCTTTTGGCCAACTTTGAACTTCGGATCCCCAGTTTATTTTCCTCTTTTTCTTCAACTTTATTTTTGGGTGACCGCATTTGGCTTATTGTTTATTGGCTTTTCCTTCGCCTTCGTCTTGTTGTTTATTATTGTTTACGTTGGCATTTCATGCGCAATAATGGTATAATATTTGCATTTGTATTGGCTACGTGGCGTATGCGTAATACCATAGTCGTGCCAAAAGAACAGGAAATGGATAGTGGCCATTGGGGATATTGCACATTGGCTCCCCTTGGATCTTCGCAGTCTTCGTAATGGTTTGTTTGAAAACGTATTTATCTGTCTGCGGAATGTTTTTGCTATGCCGAATGGCGGGGTTCCAATATTCAAAGGTGGGATTTCGCAATGGGTCAGTGTCTGGTTTATGAAATGCTTTAAAAAGTAATGGATATTATATTTATTTTTTTCTATACAACTTATGATTTATTATAATGAAATATTAAATTATTAATATAATTATTTAGTGATTTATTTTAGTGCATGTTTAGGATGCCATAACAATTATAAACGTTTTGGAAGTAAGTTTACTCGGGTCCAACCTAATTGCTTCGTGTTCTTCAGATTTAGTGTGCTTGAGCGTTAAGTTTTCCCTGAACAGCTGACAACTGTTCAGGTCGTTTCTTCTGCTGGCCTGTGACGTCTAACAATTTTCCATTTAAACGGCATTGTCTGGGCCGTTTGCATCTCATTCCAGCTGTTCTTCATTGTCAATTATATTTGTCTTTCTCAGGCCGTTTGTTGCGGCTTCTTCGCTGGCCCAGTCTCCCACTACCGCTTTTTCTCGTTCCCCCGTGTGTTTGTTCTGTGTATCTGAGAGATACTTGCAGCATAGCTGCATGTAGCTCGTATTCCTCAACTAGCCCGCAACATGGCAGTATTTTTTTCCTATTTCTTTTTGTTAATTTACATGACAACACGTTTCGAAAGTCAGTCAACACAGGACAGGAGGTGCGAGAAGAGATGAGGGACAGGGAAATAGCTCACTGAGATGGGGGCATTGTAAAGTAACTTGTAGATAGATACATTTGCTTGTAAGTTTCAAGTTAACTAGACTGTTACACTGTCGCAGTTGCAGGGAGCCGTTGGGGAGGTGGAAAACCTAGGGCACTTGCCGCCTTTTTTGCGGTTTTTCCACCCAAAAAAAATAAACCTATCCCTCGGACTCGAAACCTCTTGCCGCTTGACTGCGGTTCTGGGGCAAAAGACAATGGATCTGCTGGCTACGCTTTTCTCCCCAGCATCGTTTCTTCACCTTACGGAGATTGCAGTGCCTGCAGTCGGAAATTAGCATTCTTATAAATATTTATTCAGGTTTTTCCATCTTCT